AAAAATAAGGAAAGAAAAAAAAAGAAAGAAATGCAAATGTTTTTGTGCAAAAAAATAATAAAGAGGGAGCTGGGGTGGGGGAGGGAGAGGAAGAGGAAACTTGTGGACAGGGATGGAGGAAAATTGACCCTGATGGGGGGAGGGGTCCCAGGATGAGCCTGTGAAGATTGGCCATGAGGGTGGCATTGATTGGGTTCTAGAGGTTTGCTACTGCCAGGGTTCATCTGATGCAGGCATGAGAAGACTCCTGCTCCCATCTGAGGTGCCTGAGTGAAACCAGCCTGGTGTGTGGTCCAGAGCCATCCCTGCAGCGAGCTGTTCGGTTCTGAGATTTATTTGTGAGTCCTGACAAGACATTTTTGAAACTAGTCTCTAGTCTTAAATAGCCCTAAGGAAACAGAAGCATATACAGACAAAACATATAAGCTAAATAATAGCTCAAATAAAATCTATAATATTTGCAAAAAAAATACCCTCCTTAGGAAACCAAGGACAACCTTTCCTTACATGCTCAAGAAATGCTTCTATCTGCATCTCCTACATTTTCAAGCCTTTTGCTCTAAACATCATCTGCAAAGTTTGCGCAAACAGCTGCTGATGGCTATAAGCTTGCCCCATTTTACTCCTTATAAATTTACACTATTCCCCAGAACTCTCGAAATTGCTTTAAATTTCTTTTTAATTGCTTATGACACGTCTCTTCTTGCTGGCGACACTTCATTCACTGCCTCATACTCCGGTCCCTGTGTTCGGGCACCACTTACCTCCTCCCGGCGGCCAACTTGAACCTTGGCCGGAGTGAGGGAATGAGAGCTAACCAGGGCTAGGGAGGACTGCATGCAGTATACGGCAACTTTATTCCAAAGCTCATTTTCTTTTATAGTATACAGTGAGTACTCCGTGGGAAAGTCAACGGTTACAAGTTGAACGAGCTACGTTATCTGTTATTTTGCTTTGCAGCTGCGCATATAGACAGTTCCCTGAACTCTCTCAGGAATGAGAATGTGGTTCCTTGCCTGGCCAAGACCAATCAAGTACAGCCATCCCTTCGGGCCCTTTCCAGGATCAGCCACCAGGCCATGGTGCTCACACAGGCCCCGTTTTCCCCCTGTTTATTTTCCCTTCTCAGGGAAAATAAGCAGCGGCAACCAAGGCCAGTTCCCAATACTTCATAATGAACATTTTTCTCCAAAGCTACTATATCTTTTTTAGAGGCATATAAATTTTAAAATATTAATTTATGAATAAGCATGTGAGAATTAAATTTAAAAATCATTCAGTTGCCCTACTAAAATGAAACCAGAAAGGAAACTAAGAAGCATATGTTCTGAGAACAGGAAATGTTAAGAATCTGTGGAACAGGGGCTGTTGAGATAGTACAGGTAGTAGCAGATAAGGGTGTACTTGCTTTATGTGCGGCTGATCAGGCTTGAACCCCAAAGCCCTTTGGTCTTCTCCAGGTAACCCCAGTGGTGATCCCTGAGTGCAGGGCCAGGATAAATGCAGAATTGCCAGGTGTAGCCCCTAAACCACTTGCAGAGCAATCAAAATGGGTAATCCTGTCCAGAGGCCTTGGTGGGACTGAAAATCACAATGAACAAGAGGGCAATCTCTCTCCTCTGATACAAAATTAACCAGCACTCAATATCATGGTCATCCCTACTGTTGAGACATTACAACAGGAAATCAAAAGAAAGCAGGTTTAAGAACAAGAGAGAGCCCGATTGGAGACAAAGGCATGGGAACACCTGATGACAATTTTGGAATACCTGGCTATAGCCATACCCGAATCCTCTATACTCTATAGAACACAGTTTCTTGAAATCCAGGAAGTATCTCATCTTCTTTAAAGCGGTTTGAGTTTGATCTCATTTGCTCTAAAAGAGAAGAGGAAAACAAAATGGGGAGAGGTAAATGTGGCATCAAGTGATCTTGGACTTTCCTCTCCTCTGCATTCATTCGCTCCATGTTCCTCCTCATTTCACAGGATAGGACACTCACCAGCTGCAAAATCTGTGTGAAGCTGAGCAGCCTGTGGCTGACTATCTCCCACATGCCCCCACTAGCCACAGATTCCCCCAGTTCCTTCATTGCTGTCAGTGTCACGGAGCTCAATAAGGATAACCAGGGTTTTCAGCTGCCCCGGGGAACCACACACAATGATATCAATTATGCTAGATTTTGATGTCAAAGGATAAAATTTGAGGGAATAGAACACAGAGGAAAATTCCAATGAACAGTAGCTATGTTCACTATAATGCCCTGGAAAATACCTTGTATTGAGTAGACAACACTCTAAATAGACGACATTCACAAAACAACCAAACGTATGGCAAGCCAGAGTCACTAAGAATAGCATATTTAACAAATTGCAAAATGCCTTGAAGATAATAGAGCAGGAATCATGTTATAAAACCCAACATTGACAAAAAAATACAAGACAGTTCAGCAAAAAGACGTAACCAACTAAGAGAAAGGCATATGGTCATGATAAGAAAAAACAAACAACTTGGATGAAAAGTATAAAGACCCCATTGCTGCAACTGCCAACCAGCATCCATTGCTCCATTGCTGAGCAACACCATAGAAAACTTGGTCAGGAGGACACTTCCGTGGCTGGCCCCTGCAGGACACCTGCTGTTAGACCCAGGCAGATAACGTAAAATCTCTCTTAGACTCTTGACTTCCACCTACTTACGTGAGTGCTGAAAAGGACCTTCATCTTTTACTATTTCTAATCGCTTGCTATTTTGCAATAATGAACCTCATGCAGATGTTCTGTAAATTTCTTATAAGAACATGAAGTGTGCTTATGGATGCAATATTGACTCTGCCTGAGTCAGTTTTCCTACCTCCCCGTGGAGCCTGCATCTTCTCTGCTAGCTTCTGTCTCCAGGAAACAGGATCAAAGACTCCCTGTAAACTTGTGCTGTGTCTCTGGGAAGAGGGAACAAGGGGCCTATGCTTAGTCAGAATGTTCCTTATTAGAAATGTGCCAATATAAGTTGAGGTTACAGAAGTCATGGTTCTTAGTGCTATCTTCTTTCTGAGAGTGGCACACAGTACCCCAGAGCAGCCTCCGATTGGTTAATGACCCTGATCCCTAGGCAACGCCCCCCTTCCTCTAACCACTAACCAGCTGGGGACATGGGAAAAGGTATTTCATCCAGTGGCCCTGCCCAGGCTTACCGTACCGCAGTGAGTCCATGCATGTAGGATGCCGCCGACTCTCCAGAGCATGAGAAATTCCTGGGAATCTCATCCATCTGTGCCTTCTGGCCTCCAGAACAAAGCTATGAAGCAAGGGGCAACAGGTTTTTTTTTCTTTTTGGGTCACACCCGGCGATGCACAGGGGTTATTCCTGACTCTACACTCAGGAATTACTCCTGGCAGTGCCAGAGGACCATATGGGATGCTAGAAATCGAACCCAGGTCGGCCGTGTACAAGGCAAACACCCTGCCCACTGGGCTATTGCTCCAGCCCCTAATTCAATTCATTTTAAGGGGCACTGAACATAATGTCACCTAGGCCAAGTGGAAGTAATCCTGGGAGAGTTTTCCAAGATCTGAAGGTCACCCACAAGGGCTCCTGCCTGGCCAGGGTGGACATTGACAGAGAGCCATTCCTAAATGTCATGTGACCTATGAGACCAGGAGGACAGCCTGCCACGGAATTTATCTCTAATATTGACCCTCAAGAACTGAGTAGAAGAGCGCCGGTCCAGGTCGGGGTGACAGCACAATGCTGGGATGCCCACTGGGGTTGAGTACTGGAGTGGGGAAGCAGAGACAAGCACCCCCATGAGTAGAACAGGGCCTTTGGGGGCCAGACTGGGGAGATGAGTCAGCATCACCCGCCAGGTCACCTGGGTCCTCAGCAGCAGGGTTGGACTGACCCTCCAGGCCCAGGAAGCTGCAGGCACAGGAGAGATGTCGAGTAAGCTGGGCAGCTGAGAGTAAGCTGGGTCTGGCTCTGTTCTCTAAGGACAATGGGCAGTGCCAGAGGTCACACTTCAGTCAGTCATACCCACCAGAGGGGCACCTCTACTATTTCTCTGGCCACTTTACTTGAATTTTCAGTGAAATATTTTAATCCCCTTCATTTTACAAAATGTATGTACAAATATTTATTTAAAATTTGCTTTCTGGTTACTCTAATTGAAAATGCATTTAAAATCCTAAATTCTGACACTCACATTAGATAATATATTTTCAATAACATACAAATAGTCTGCTCCTATATAGTTCTGCCCCCATAGCCTTACTTTTACTTAGTACCTGTCCAAAAACATAGAATAACCATTGTTTTAAGGCATCACATATACAATCAAATATAAAATGCAAAGTGGAGTTACAAGCTAAATTTCCAATAGTAGAATTTTAGTGGTGGTCTGTGCATTTACTGTAGTTAGGGATCTTTGTTTCTTCAACATAGATGCTCACTCTCTAGAGTCTTCTCATTTCAGTCATAAATTCTCCCTACTGCATTTTTTGCAGGACATATTAGTGAACCCCCGCAATTTTTGTTTATTTGGGAAGGTCTTGATTTCTCCCTCATTTTCATTGAAGGACACTGTTGGATAGTACTGTTGGATATAGAATTCCTGTTGGCAGTTCTCCTTTCAGTACTTTGAATAATTCAACTGCATGGAAGTTCAACCTTCATGAGATACTTCTATCTGTTAATTAATATCAGAATAATCATGTGTATTTTGTTCCTTCAGGTTAAATGGGAATACAGATATAACATCACTGCCAGTATTGAGCTCTCCTGATAATACCTGAGAATTCAGTTTTTTAAATGTAAATATATTTATAACCTTTAGTGAAAGAAATTGAGGTGTAGACTTCTGACTTGTCCTAGACTATATATTTCATGTGTAAAATAAGAATTAATCATGGTTATATGAGGTTTTTTGCTCTAATTGCATATGTAGCACTAGAGGACCGCATCATCTCACCAGCAGTTCTGATTCGCAGGGCTTGGTCATACTGCACAATGCCGCTCACCCTCTACACCTGTCTTCTCCTGCTGATGACCAGTGGCCTTTGGACCATCCGGGCTCAGGATACCAATGAGACTGTGAACATCAGGAGTCATTATCGGAAACTAGCTCCAAGCAACATTCACTTTGCCTTTAAGCTGTTTGAATACCTAAATTTCTTTGCTCCTGATAAAAATGTCTTCTTCTCCCCTATAAGCATCTCTCTGGCCTTGTCCATGATGGCCTTCAGTGCTGACAAAGAGACAGGCACAAAGATCCTTGAAGGCATAGGCTTCAAGTACAGTCCAATCCCCGAGACCGAGATCCACGACAGACTCCAGGAACTTAACCACCTCCTCAGGCAGTCAGATGGCAACTTTGAAATGAGCATGGGAAACACATTGTTCTTCAAGAAGAACCGGAGACCTTGGGATTTATCCACAAATAACATCAAGCGCTACTATGGGATGGAGAATGTGGCTATAGATTTCAAAAACTGGACCAGAAGCATCAGTCAAATTAATGAGTATATGCAAAATAAGATATGGGGGGATGTCACAGACTTGCTCTATGCGTTGAAGGACCCAACCCCCTACACGCTGCTCAACTACATCTTCTTCACAGGTAATCTCTACCTTCCACATTCTGATAAGACACTGTCTGTTACTGGTGAAAACAGTTACAGACATCAAAAAGCTGCTTTTGTGGAGGTTAGTAATTGATTGTTCAAAACAGACATGTGTGACTGCTTTCTCCTGTGATTGTACTAGGAAAGGGGAGGGCTAGGGAGAAAGAATCAGTGAAGACAAGCACAGGGAGTCATCCAGGGCCTGGGACCTGTGTGCTGAGCACAGGTTGATGCAGGCACTGACGTGATGGCATTTAGTACATACCTTCTATTTCTCAGCGTTTTGGCATCCTCAGGACTGAGTGGGATGAAACTAATGAGACAGAGTAGCTCCTGGTGATCAAACCAGAGAGCCTTTAAGCATCAGGATGTGGGACGCCACATTGCACGCTGATACCTGTGAGAAGGTTCAAGTGAATTCACCTGGATAGCTGGGGGCATCCACTGAAATGGTTCCAGTAAACAGGTTAGTCTGGAAATGAAGGCAAGTACCCTTGTCACAGACTGAGGAAGTGCCATTGAACAAGCAGATCCTGATTTGATGACTCTCTTTACAGTTCTTTTCTGGATAACATAGAACATGTAACTAAAAGGTTTCCCATGGAATCACTTTCTCAGGTATCCTGCATATATTTTTACACTTGCCTACAATGAGCTTCTTTTTTGCTCTTTAGGTCACATCTGACAATATTGAGGGCTTACTCCTGGGTCTGCACTCATGGATTACTCCTGGCAGGTTTGGGGAATTATGTGAAATGCCAGGAATCACATTCAAGGCAGATACATGTAACACAAATGCCTACTTACTGGATTATCATTCCAGACCTACCATGAGTTTTCTGGGTTATTGATATTCCGCTAGGTCGACTTAGAGTTCACTTGCTTTTGCCAAACAGAATATGGCCTGGTTGGTTTGGGCAAAGAAACACTATGAAGTAAATGTTGAATACCAAATGCAGAAGGTATTTTTTACCCACGTTGCCTTCCTTCGGACAAGCAAATCACAAAGCACAATGCCCTTCATTCCTGGGGACCCCAGACTTCCTTGGGGGTGGTCTTGAGAATGCTGGTATGGTCTCACTGGTGGTTTCAGTACCCAGCCAGCTGCTTCTCAGTGTGAGGAAGGAGCATGACATGGTACCGGCTTCCAGGTCTTCTTGCCTGGGCCTCTGTTGGGTCTTCTCGCATAGCCTTAGAAGGAAGACTGGTTCAGGGTGGCAAGTCTTCACCCCTCAGCCCCACGGCTGAGGGTGGGGTGTGACAGACTAGATCTCTTTGTAGACCTGCACAGCTGTGGGCCCCTCTTAATATCAAAGGGCCATTGGGCTTGAGATCAAGTGCAGAAATACCACCTGGGACCCTCCACAAAAAGGTTTTTGGTTCCCTTCCTTCCTTCACTTCTTCCTTCCTTCCTTCCTTCCTTCCTTCTTTCCTTCCTTCCTTCCTTCCTTCCTTCCTTCCTTCCTTCCTTCTTCCTTCCTTCCTTCCTTCTTCCTTCCTTCCTTTCCTTTCCTTTTTTCTCTTTCTTTCTCTCTTTTTTCTTTCTCTCTTTCTTTCCTTCTCCCTTCCTTTCTTTCTTGCTTTAGGGTCACTCCCAATGTTATTCAGGTCTTACTTTGTACTTGGCTCTCGGGGATCATTGTTGATGGGGATTGGGGGACCATATGGAATGCGATGGATCGAACCCAGATCAGAAGCACGCAAGGCAAGCACCCTACCCACTGAACTATCACTCTGGCCCCTCTCGGTCCTTCTGAACCATGACAAGGAAGCCCTAAAGAGACATGACTCCTGTCCTTGAAAGAAAAATTTTATTGAATCACTGTGAGCAGCACTTAAAAACTTTCATATTTGAACTTTAGTCATACAATGATCAAACACCCATACTCCCACCAGTACACATTTTCCACCACTAATGTCCCCAGTATCCCTCCCCGCCCCCCATCCCACCCCTCCCCCTACCTCCATGGAAGACAGTTTTCCTCTTACTCTCTCTATACTTATGGGTACTGTGGTTTTCAATACAGATATTTAGAGGTCAACATGCTTGGTCCTTTACTACTTTCAGCACCCATCTCCCATCCCAAACGATCCCTACTACCATCATTGACTTAGTGATCCCTTCTCTATCCCAGCTGCTCTCTTTCCCAGCTCATAAGGCAGGCTTTCAACCATGAAGCATTCTTCCTGACCCTTGTCTCTACTGTCCTTGGGTGTCATCTCATATTACATTATTTAATATTTCACAAATGAGTGCAGTCATTCTATGTCTGTCCCTCTCTTTCTGATTCACTTCATGTAGCATGAGAGTCTCTATGACCATCCACTTATAAGCAAATTTCATGATTTCATCCTTCCGAACAGCTGCATAGTAGTCCATTGTGTAGATGTACCAAAGTTTCTTTAACCAGTCGTCTGTTCTCAGACACTTGGGTTGTTTCCAGATTCTGGCTATTATGAACAGTGCTGCAATGAAAAGACAGGTGCAGATGTCATTTCTACTGTGATTTTTTGCACCCTCAGGATATATTCCTAGAAATGGTATTGCTGGGTCATATGGAAAGCTCAATTTCTAGTCTTTGAATGAATGCCCAGATTGTTTTGCAAAAAGGATGGACCAGTTGGTATTCCCACCAACCATGAAAGAGAGTATCTTTCTCCCCACATCTGCTCCAGCACTGGTTGTTCTTGTTCTTTTTTGATGTGTGCCAGTCTCTGTGGTGTGAGATGATATCTCATTGTTGTTTTGATTTCGCAATGTATGATAGCAATGTAGAGCATTTTCATGTGCTTTTTGGCCATTTGTATTTCTATGTTGAGGAAATTTCTGTTCATTTCTTTTCCCCAATTTTTGATGGTTTTTTTTCTTGTACACTTCTACTAGTGCCTTCTATATGCTGAATATTAACCTTGTATCAGAAGGGTTTTTGGTGAATAACTTTTCCCATTCTGTAAGCTGTCTTGGTGTCTTTGTCACTGTTTCTTTGAGGTGCAAAAGCTTCTTAGTTTAATTTAGTCCCATTTGTTTATGATGTTTTCCACTTGCTTGTTCAGCGGTGTTTCATCCTTAAAGATGCTTTTAGCTTCAGAGTCACGGAGGGTTCTGCCTACATTTTCCTCTATGTATCTTATGATTTGGGCTGGAGCAATAGCACAGAGGGTAGGGCGCTTGCCTTGCAAGTGGCCAACATGGCCAACCCGAGTTCAATTCCTCCGCCCCTCTCAGAGAGCCGGCAAGCTACCCTACCAAGCGTATCTCACCTGCACAACAAAGCCTGACAAGCTACCCCCTTGACATGTTCAATATGACAAATACAGTAACACCAAGTATCAAAATGGAGACATTACTGGGCCTGCTCTAGCAAATCGATGAACAACAGAGGACAGTGATAGTGACAGTGATCTTATGATTCAGGTCTGATATTGAGGTCTTGAATCCACTTTGAACTAACTTTTGTGCCTGGCATTAGACAGAGGTCAGAGTTCATTTTTTTGCAAGTAGCTGTACAGTTTTCCCAGCACCACTTGTTAAAGAGGCTTTCCTTTTTCTACTTCGCATTTCTTGCTCCTTTATTTAAGATCAAGTGATCATATATTTGAAAGTCTGTGACAAAATATTCAACTCATACCACTGGCAACAGTCAACTTCATAGATGACAGGAGAGGCTCATGGTCCATTCAGGGGAATGGAGGGTCACAGAATCTACATTCTTCCCTCATTGCTAGGAAGCATGAAAGTCCCATCTGCAAAGAGAATGAGATCCTGATCTTGAGAGAACAAACATTCACGTGACATCAAAACAGGGCGGTGGGTGACCCAGGTAGAAATAGGGTGGGCACCCGTAGCTAATGCTCAAAGGCATCTTCTCACCCTTATCTGCCTCCAGGAAAGGGTCCCTCTGGGGTCAGGAATCACCCCCAGGTAGAAAGTGCGATTGATTGTGCAGACTATCTGCTGAGGAACTGCGGTCAGGCTGGCAGGGACAGGGAGGGCGAGGATAGCCCTAACCCCTAACCACGACCAGCTCTCATCCCCTAGGAATGTTATTCCCTATTCTGAAATCAAGGAGCATGTTTTGGATACACTCCAGTTGGGGAGAGGTATTAAGGGGGTTCCAAAAAAAATTCCGGGTCACTGGATTAAAATCCATTCATCTTCCTATATTTTGTAGAAACTAACGTTGACTTGTTTTATTTATTTTGTAAACTCATCTACCCTCCATCTTTGGGGGGGGGGGGTGGAAGGTCCCCAAGATGTCTCTAGGATGCACACTTTACCAAGACTCTATCAGCCCCTGAACTGTCTGAGTATTTACCACAGCTTTGAATAAAACCCTTGTTCTCCTCCTCTTTCCTCCACCCACTCCTTTCACAGGACTTTGGGCACAACCCTTTGACCCAGACAACACCAAGTTGGAGAACTTCTTTGTAGATGACAAGACCATAGTGAAGGTACCCATGATGACCCAGACAAGCGTCTTCAATTTCCTGTATGACCCAACACTAAGCTGCCTGGTAGTACAGCTGGACAATGTAGGCAGCAAAACCACACTGATGGTCCTTCAGGACAGAGAAAAGATGGACTGGCTCATCAATGAACTGACAGAGGATACCCTGATTAGGTGGTTCCAGTCCATCGTCACCAGGTAACTGCATCCTTTCTCCGGGGTACATGCTTTCCTGTCTACTGAGACCCACAGAGATAGTGAGGTCTCCTGACCAGGAGAGATCTGCAGATTACACTGAGTCACTTCTGGGCTTTCTGTCAAGTGAGAGCCTCCCTCCTTGGAGGTGAAGAACCACTGCTCTGTATTGTTCCATAGTTGTTTTTTTTTTCAGGAGAGATTTACAAACAACTAGTCTCCCACGTGACATCATGGATCTTACACAATGCTGATAGTTGGTTTTATAGGTAATTCAGGAGATGAATTAAATCTTAAATCAATCTGAAAATAGGTAAGAATGTCAGGGAGTGAGTAGCTAGTAGTAAGTGAGTAAGTATAGAGTGGGCCAGGGGTCAGGAAGAAAATCTGCCAAGAAAGTGAACCTCTGGAGCACATGATGGCCACAGAATACATGCAGAGGTTTAGCACAGTGTGGGAGCAAGCAATGCAGCAGGGAGGGATGAAGGAACCATTGGAGGCATTTCCTCAACTGAGCTCATCTAAGCTAGAGGAAACTAAAATCATGGCCAGCTTGTGCCCAGCTCTCCAACTCATCCTCATCATGGAGGAGGGAGAAAGGAAGTCAGTGCCCCACAACTTGGGGGTACTTGGGGGTACACATCATCACAGTCCAAGAAGAAGCACTTCTTTCCTTGAGTGGAGTGGCTGGGGGTGAGGGAGGTTGTTTGTGCTATTCTGGGGTTCCTCTGCCACCTCCTCACTCTTTCAGCTGTTCCCTCCCCTCCTTTCAGCCACAGCATTCAAAGAACGCATAATTTGAGTGTAGCGACCCCAGGGGGCGAGAAGTCACCAGGAGTCATGCTCTCTCCTCTGCATCCTACCCATTCTGCTAACTTTTGCATTCCCAACTCCCCCTGCCCCAGGAGACAGCTTGCAAGCTCCCACTCCACTCACTCTCCTGGGACCCTCAGCTGCCGGTGGCCCATGTCCCTTAAGCCAGTCCAAGGGGCTGTCAGACCACAGAGCCTGGTTTCCAGATTCTCACTTGGGAAACTCACACAAGTTCCCCTGATGTTGATTCCTGTTTGGAAATAATGTGTCCCTGTGGCTGTGAGGAGCTAAGGAGCACAGAGTCCTGCTCAGTTCTGCTCCCAGCCCTTGTCTTTGGAGAAGGATTTCTCCATCACCAGGCTCAAGATCTGCTTTTGTTCTGAGCAAAAGAATATCCCAGCCTTCCCTTCCCATGCATCGACAGTCCCTGTGCCTTCCAGATATTCAGCGTCCTGAAGTCGCCTCTCCCTCAGGAGAGAGAAAAGAGAAGAAATTATAAAAGGAGCCAATTGCCATAAGAGGCAGCAGGGGAATATGATGGACCTGTTAGGGCCACTTGTTCCTGCAAGTGCTCCCTCTGTCCTCCCCATTGCCAGGAGGCACTGGAAGACCACCGGCATTGTTCAAGGCCAGCGTCTCAGTGCCCAGGGGTCCAGCTGATGACAAGCAGAATCAGCTCAAGCAATAGCTGACCAAAAGAGTTGTCTGAGAGGAGATGTCAGAGAGGCAAAGGATAGAGGGAAACCCATCTCTTCTGTCTGTCTGTTCCGGCCCAGAGGCAGGCGCTGGATCATTCCAGGGGAGTGGGAGTGTGAATGCCCAGGCCCTGACCCCAGGACTGTCTAACCTCTCTGCTTCCCTGAGCAGCCATCTAGAAGTCCACATCCCGAGACTCTCCCTGTCTGGCACCTATGAGCTCAGGGACGCCATGAATGCCTTGGGTATCATAGACTTGAAGAATAAGCAGACAAACCTGTTTGGCATTACAGGCTGTTCCAAGCGGAAGCTGTCAAAGGTAACTGTCTCTGGGACCCTTCACTTCTCCCCAAAAACCTCACTGAGAGTGATAGAATGCCACGGAGTCCTTTCCTAAGTGGGCGTCCAGGTCTGAGGCCTCAAACCCCAGATCTTCCCTACACCTCGAGGGTTGCAGCCGGCTCACTGAAGGATCAGCCCGAGAAGCTGATGTCCCGGTCACACAACAGGCGGGTGGTCTGGGAGGCTGCAACCTTGCATCTCTCTGTGCCATCCGGGAGACCAGGAAAGAAATTGGTCAGGGAAGATGTGGGTAGCCCTCAAACTAGATGTCTAAAAGAGTCTCACTGTCCCCTTACCCATGGTTTCAGTGTCTTTGTTTTCATTCATTCCTTCATTCTGAAAGAGGTCTCCAGGGCACTGAGGATGTTCCCATGTCTCTGGCTCACTCAGGCCTCCTGAGATCTGACAGTTCTGTGGGTGACTAAGCTCGGGGAATGACAAGGAATTGGAGAAAACTGTGGGTCAGTGGCCCTACAGCCCACACATGAACTTGTACCCAACTACACAGGAGGTGCTTGATCAATGCAAGGTTGCCAACTCCTCCTGTGGACAGTGCTGCCCTGTCACTGAGAGGCTCTCAGGAGAGTCAGAGACTGACCAGGGCTGCTGACCCCAGGGGTAGGGTCCTCCCTCTGTCCTGGCCTTGGGCTCAGGCCTCATTCCCAGCACTTATCGCACATGCCAGTCCCAGTCCACAACCAGGTCCCAACCGAGAGTGTGGGACTACCGTGAGCTACTCCAGGGCCTGCCCATGTTCCCCTCTGAGTTTTGCTGATCTCTGAATTCATTCTCATGTCTATCACACCCCAAACATTCAAGTCAGTGATGCCCTTCCACAAATGTGATTACCCCTCCAGACAGGAGTGTTTCTGGGAATAGAGATTGGTTCTTCTTCCTTTTCCCTTGGTTCATACCCCTTCCTTTGGTTCATACCCAACAGATGCTGCATGTGGCCAAGCTGGAAATCAAAGAAAATGGCATGGAACCCGAGGTCTCCATAGATGACAGCATGTATAGGAAGCTCACACCTACCATAATCCGCTTTGACCGACCCTTCTTCATCATGGTCTTTGACAAAGTCTCCTGGAGCATTCTTTTCCTGGGAAAGGTTATTTATCCCATCTAAGAAAATTTCATGTGCAGCTACAGTGGCCTCTGGACTTGGACATGGGACTGTTTCTAAGTTCCTCAACCTCTCCTATTATAATAAACAACCATCCTTACTACTGAGCATTTGTGTGACTGAAAGGGAAGGGGACACATCTGACAACCTTGAATACATCCATGCCTCCTGACATTGGCGGGCTTCCTCAACCCCCATTACACCTGTGGGGAGCATGAAAGAATGGAGCTTAGACTCAGAACTAACTCCTCTTACAACCCTCTACTATTTTGAAATGATTTCTGAGTATAAACTTCAAGAAGAGATTATTTCAATCAAAACACCACCAAAAGGAGAAAACATTGAGGGACATAAAGACAGGTTATAGATGATGGTAGATACAAAGAGAGGTAAACAGGTAGATAGGTCCATACATGTATGTAGATACATAGATTCATAGTAGATAGATATACAGTCACAAATATAAAGTAAAATAATTTTATTTAAAGGACATCACTTAGAAATGTGAGGAGGGGTAGCTAAGAAAGATGTATTCAAGAGAACACAGACTCTCCAGTATGGCAAAGCCAGATACATAGATTTTTAAATATGTGGTACCTAGATACCTAAATATATTAATAGGTTAAAAGGTAAGAAACTATGGAGTTAAGAATAATGGTAAATAATAGGTAGATGATATGGTATATATTGTATATATAGAAATAAACAAAACTGAAGCATATTTCTTACAAAGATTTATTTTACAATAGATGTAGAAGATATATAACATGTAAATATATTTCTACATATAATCATATATTTACACATTCAGATACTTTCCTAAATATGGAGGTATGTACAAACACAATTATATATACTTGAGTATATACTTGAATTCTAAAACCGTCATCTTATGACTTGGAAAATATTCAATCCATTTCTATGCAGTTCAACATTAACACAAAGCTGTTCACTATACCAATTACCAATGCTCATTTTCCTGGAATTTTTATACAATACCACTAAATAACAGATACTAGGGGGAAATGAATTAAAATGGTATTTGCAGGTACCTGTAATAAAGCTCCATAACCCTAGCATACCCATAATGAAACAAACTTCGATAATGAAAGAATTCAGCAAGATGCCAGCTACAAATTTAACTTACAAAATGGCAGCCTCCAGATATACAGAGGATAGTAAAAGCATACCATCGCAATAGAGTTCCTGAGTCCATCGTGATGAAACTAAATTCTGTCCTCCTTTCCTTCTGTGTCTCAGCTATCCCACTGCATTATGACGAATTCGGGCCATAACATGGGACTTACAGAGCACAATTCAGGGGACAATATGGCGGGTAATGATTGGCTCTTGTATTTATGAAGAATCCTCCAGGCCTCGGTTTAGGCGGGGTGTGGTGGGTGTTACTGTCTCCACAGTATATGGGCATAGTGTGGATCCAAGAATAAGACAGGAACACCTTAGCCTCCAAGCTTCTCCTCCAGATGACAGCTGGGCATGATTTTGTGTGTGTTTTCAGTTTCATGCTAGACTCGACTACCTTAGAAAAACTAAGTTTGATGCCAGGAGCAACTGGAAATGTGAGTCACCCCCATCTTACTCCTACCTTTGCCTTTGTCTACTCCAAGATATTGGGCACTGTATCAGGACAGTAACACAGCATGAGGATGGGGTTTCACTCAGGGAGTACAAATAACAGCTGAGGATTCCCATCAAGGCTGACCTATCTTAAACAAATAAGATTGGCAGCTTCAACCCCTGTCTAGATGGGCTCAGTCCCAGGTTGAGACATCTCACACATAAGAAGAAAAACACACATGGATTGTCCGAGCTGTAGGTCATCATCAGTGGTTTCAGAGGCCAGTTCTTCAATAAATAGCATTCCCTCGCCACTTTCCGGTCTCCCAACAGATGAGCCATTGCTGGCAGACATCAAAGACAGTCAGCAATACACAAGAAAGTAAAAGGGTCAAAATGGAAAAATTGCAACAATCAGAAATGAAGAATGTGGTCAGTGATAATTAAAAAGTTAACAGAAACTCTGAACAGCAGAATAACAGAAGCTGAGCAAAAAATCAAGGTACTCAAAGATGGGGATGAGACCTCTGGGAAATAGCAGAAGGAAGAAAGTTATCTGAAAAGAAATGAACAGCATGCCAGTGAACTGTGAAATGAGTTCAAGAGGAGCCTTATAGGAAGCATCGGAGGCCCTGAAGAAGAGGAAGGCAAGTTGAGTGAAGAAACAATAGTTTAAGAAATCATCAACCAGAATTTCCCATAGCTGAGGATTACAGGCACTGAGATCCAAGAGACTAGAAGGGTTCCAGTGAAAATAGACTCAATTAAGAAAACTCTAATACACCTTGTATTCAAACTGACAAAACCAAATACAGAGACAATATGGAAAACAGTAAGACCAACAAAGTAACTTACATACAAAGGAAATTCCATAAGATGTACAGCAGATCTATCAAGTGCAACTCCATGAATAGTGCTTCAGTGAACATAGGAGCACAGATGACTTCTCAGATTTTTATTTGTGGGCCTCTAGGACATGTTTCCAGAACACTGATTGTTGATTTATGGAAGCTCAACTTTTATTTTTTTGAGGCATGTCCATATTGTTTGCCAAAAATTCTCGTCCAGTCAGTGTTACTATATGCAGTGATTGAGAATCTAGAAACAAGCTTCTTTTGTTGCATGTTCCAAGGAAGAGTTCTTCTCTAGTGTCGAAAATGGCATGATGTGATTGATACCTTCTCGTCTCGGTCAGACCAATGATGTTGTACTTGATCTTTCGTGCTTGTACCATCAGGTCCTTGATCGATGCATCTGATGCCAGTGTACGTGCATTGAAAGTACAGACAGTCATTTTTGTCTTTCTTCGTTTTGGCAGCCTAGTTCAGCCTTGAGATTTTATCAATCTCTTCTTCCACATCCTTCTTAATTCTGCCATATTGCTGGCTCTTTCAGGGTCAGGGGAATGAGACCCATTGTATTTACTGATTTGGGCATATTGAATACGCCACGAATAGCTTGTCAGGCATATAAAAAGAGCCTGGCAAGCAATTTTATTTATATTGGTTAAAATAATTTAGCAATCAATCATCAAAAATTAATTTATTTTCTAATCATTCAATATTCCATTCCTTTTCATTTTATTGTAGATATTGTAATCTGAAATAAATTAGTTATATGTTTGTCAGGTCAGCAGTCTGGGGACACAAGGGGAGGGAGTGGGACACTTGTGTCAATTTCCATGTAAATGGATGAATAGAAATTGGGAGCCTGTCTCAGAATCACTTGAAAGTAAATTTTATGACTCATGACCCTTTGCCTCTAAGAACTTCATAGACATTTTCTAAGAATGTGTCACTTATTTCTCAGTAAAACTTCAACTTCCAGCCACTGAATCATGTTCCATCTTGGATCCTCTGTCCCACCCAGATTCCAACTGTGCTCACTGCCCCTAGAGGGCTCGGAGCTCGGAACTCCCTCCCTCAAGGAAAGTCCTTGACACTGATTCCTGGACCACGTCTGGTCGGCCTGCAGGGACTCTGAGGGCATAATCTTGATAATGAGCCTGCAGAAACATCTTCTGAAGTCACCAGATACACAATCAGCCTCTGCTCTCCCCATCAGACACCCTGTGATCTACAACCCTGATATTTGTAAGCCACACAATACCTGCTGTCGCAAGTGGATGTCATCATACCCATGGAAGGTTTATACCCATAAGGTTCTTCTTATTGTTTTTTTTTAATTTCCCCTTAAGAAATTTTTTATTTTAAAATTTTTCAATTTTTAAAAAAATTTATTTAAAAACAACACTGATGGCATTTCTTTTGTCTCTCTTCAGACTACTGAGAGTAGTCAAACCATCACCACTTCCATCCCAGTCATAAAGTTCTGACAGGAGTGATGGCTCAGAGGCCAGTGGGACCTGGGATTCAATTCTCATACTTTAGGTGACCCTCAAGCAGGAAGAGTCCCTGAGGACACCAGGGGAGGCCCCTAAATTGAAAAGTTCTACCACCACACAGGAACCCACTGATACACTGACACCAGCTTGCCTGCCCCTAGACTGGGTCTCTACTCAGCCCCAACCCCCCATCCCGCATCCTTTGTCTATATCACTTCCCTACTAATCCTAGTTAACTCCTTGCTGCAAACTGAGAGTAATTCAGATTTAAAGACTAAATTCTACCATCTATTCTAGTTCAAACCTATTTTATTCTGGGACTTTTTTAAAGGAAGAAAAGAGAAAGGAAAGTGAGGGAAAGGAAAGGAAGAGAAGAGATGAGAATGGGAAGAAAGGAAGGAAGGAAGGAAGAAAGGAAGGAAGGAAGGAAGGAAGGAAGGAGGGAGGGAGGGAGGAAGGGAGAGAGGGAGGGAGGGAGGAAGAAAGGGAAGGAGGGAGGGAGGGAGGGAAGGAAGGAAGAAGGGAGGGAGGGAGGGAAGGTTCGTTCCTCAAAAGAGGAAATGTTCTCTCATTTACAATTCTGCACTTTCTGCATTAGCATTCAGTATACTGCTAGCAAGGTTATCAAAAGTTAATTCCACAAGTATTGTATGTGTAGAAAATTTATTTTGTCAAACCAGGGATCGAAGACAAGGCAAACAAAGGTAGAGGATGATGTGATGAGTATTTTCTAAATAGTCCCAATAAGCAGGAATTTATACCCTCTTTGCCTTTTTATGGATCTTTCAGAAGAGCGTCACTTGGTCCTTAGACAATTAGGGACAATGGGGAGAAATCTGACTCTGCCACTAGACAATTTCCCTTCTACTGGTTGCTCCCCTGTTCTCAGACCAGGTAGGCTCAGTTCCCCTAAGCACAGAGAATGCAGCTGCAGGGACACTGCGCCAGGCTCTGAGAGAGACTCCTGTCAGACTCTCACACCTGTCGCTCAAGGGCAACACCATCTTCGGTGCAAGAACAGACAAGGGCCCTGTGGGAGAGCTCTGGAGGATTCTCAGTGACCAGGGACCAGCTTTCCTCA